TGCCATCCAGCCTGGGGTGTGGGGGTGTGGGAGAGCGTCCCCAGGGGCTGAGGGTCTCCTGATTGAGAAGGCTGGCTGCTTAATCAGTGCCAGGCTCCAGTAAAAGTCAGGGTTCTCTCCAAATGCAGGGTGGGGGAAGGTAAGGAAGAGATGATGCTCTATATCTTCTACCTAACATATGTGAGAGTTACCACAAAAGTGTGTTAATGCAAGTAGTTGAGAAATTATCTTAACCTGAAGAAACAGTTTGTGGAGAACAAAAGACCTGAGCACAGGTCTCTGGCAGAAATTTCTTCTCTAGTCCATGAAGGGTACTATAGTAATAGTATTTGCATCATCCCAAGTTGGTTTAACTTCCTCCTCAGGAATTGCCAAAGTCAACCTGCTTCAGGCCAGACTTTGTCATGGCCTCCCAGGCAGAGGCCTGGTCCATCTGGTTCCCATGTCTAGCAGCACCTGGCATTCAGGATATTCTTCATAAATATGAGTAATAGTCTGACACCTGAAGTAGAGTTCTTATCTTCTTCATCTCTTTTCTCATCTATGAAAGACTCTAAGCTTTCACATGTAGTAATGACTGGGTGAGCAAAGGGTCCCACACTCCCCAACCTGATTGCAATTTCCTAAAGGCAAGAGTTATGTAATATTTCTCTATCTCAATTTTAGCATCTAGGTGTTTTTTTTCTTTCTTTTTAAAGTTATTTAACAAACACTTATTTTGCACCAGATATTTTTCCAAAAACTTTACAAATAGCAATTCATTCAATCATCATGACACCCTGTGAAATATGTACTACTGTTATCCCTATTTTACAAATGAGGAAACAGAGGCATAGAGAGCTTAAGTAACTTTCCCAAAGTTACACAGCTAAATGGCGTAGCTGAAATTTCATCCAAACAAGCTGGATCCACAGACATTGCTCTGTACACTATGCCTTACTATGTTGCCTCGTCTTATTATTGTTAGGTGGAATGACGAAAGAAAGTAAACATTTAGAATCTCAGGAGAAATTTGAGGAAAACGATATTTATACAATATATATCCAAACGAATAGTATGTTTTCAGGTACTTCATGCATAGTTAATATAGTACAAATGTTGACACTGTATGAAAGGTGATACAAATGTAAGCTGATTTGAATACCTAATGTAAAAGGATTTTGTTCCTTGGCTTAAAAAATAAAGCTATTAAATTGTGAATCATTTTAAGTACTCAAACACTTGACCCTGCCTTCCAGATAAATGAATAATTACTTAGTAGAAAATTAAACAAACTCACAACTGGTTAAAATGTTCAAAATTCAGTTATTCTGGTGGGCAGTTGTAATAGTTTGCTCCTGGGTGGCTTTAATAACAGAAATTTATTGTCTCGCAGTTCGGAGTCCAAGATCAAGGTATCAGGAGGGTTGGTTTTATCTGAGGGCTGTGAGAGAAGGATCTCCTTGGCTTATAGATGACTGGCTTCTTCACATCATCTTTCTTCTGTGTGTCTGTCTGTTTCCAAACTTCCCCCTTTTATAAGGACATCAGTCATACTGGATTACAGCCCACCCTAATGACCTCATTTCAACTTGATTATTACCTTTGTATAGACCCTATCTCCAAATAAGGTCACATTCTGAGGTCCTGGGAGTTGGGACGCCAACATATCTTTTGGGAGGGAGCACACAATTCAACCCATATTGCAGTATAATATGGGGGTAAGGGCCTAAGTTTGAATTCTAGCTCTGACGTTGATTAATTATGAGACCATGTTGTACCTTACTTCCTTCGTACTGGCCTCATGCTGTTGTGAGGATTAAATGAATTAGTACATGTAACACTTAGAATACTGGGTAGTACAATGCACATTCGATATTCATTCATTCAACAAATAGTCATTGAACACCTATTAAGTGCCAGTTACTGTTCCAGGTGTTTGAGATACAGAAGTCAACAAACTAGGCAAAAATTCCTACCTTCATGGAGCTCATAATCGAGTGGGGAAAGAAACAACAATTAAAAAATATAGAATGTCATCTATAGAATGTCAGACTGTAATAAGTGCTATGGAGAAAAATAAAGCAAGATAGGCGCTAGACAGAGTGCTGAGGTTTGCCATTTGGGATCAGAGAGGGCCATTTCAGCAAAGACTTGAAGAATGAGAGGAGACAGTTAAATGGTTATCTGGAGCTTTTTAGATATAGGAGGGTTTCCCCACTTTAGCACTACTGACATTTGGGGCTGAATAATTCTTTGTTGTGGGGGCTGTCTTTGCATTGTAGGATGTTTAGCAGCATGCCTGGCCACTACCCACTAGGTCAGCAGTTCTCAACCTTTCACAGGGGTCGCCTAAGACCATCGGAAAGCACATATTTTCGATGGTCTTAGGAACTGAGACACCGCTCCTCTATCGTCTCCAGGCCCACATGCAGATATGCCCACATATGAGTACCTGGCGACCCATGTGAAAGGGTATTTCGACCCCCAAAGGGGTTGCGACCCACAGGTTGAGAACCGCTGCACTAGATGCTAGCAGTGGGTTAACATTTACCACTCAGTTGTGGCCATCTGTTTGACATCCAAAGATGTCTCAAGACATTGCCACATGTCTTGTGGGGAGCCAGAATCACTTCTGGTTGAGAACCACTGAAATAGAAGAAAAGTGAAAGCTAGGGGGAAGGGACTAAAGGGGGAAAAGAGGTGGGGCTCCGCTTGTGTGAGGCACAGCAGGGAGGCAGGCAGTAGGAGATGAAATTAGAAAGGAGAGGGATGAACCACATCACCTACGACCTTGAGGCAACTCTTAAGGCAGATGGGTGGCCGGCCACTGGAGGGAAAAGCAAAAAGATAACACAACTTGACCCACATGTTTAAACGATCCATTTGGCTGTCACATTGAGAACTGACCATGAGTAGCAAGACAGAAATGGACAGCTCAGTTGGGAGGCTATCACCATAATCCAACTAATTTTTTATTCGGTTTATCTTTGTTCACTCATTTGGCTGGATGGTAGTGGAGTGGCTGAGAGGCTTGAGCTAAGAAGCTCTGAGGAAGAATGGAGGAAGGGAAATTAGCATAAAAGGAATAAGCTGGCAGAGGGCAAGATAATGTTTTGCAGAAGTGAACGGCAGTCCCCATGATTAAGTCCATCTGAGAGAGCAGAGGGGTTGTGTAAGACAAAGAGAGGCTGTTGGGGGCCAGTTTGTGTGCAGGGCCAGTGCAGGCTAAGCTAAGGAATCAGAGCTCAAGTCTGTGACTAATGAGGTGCCTTTGAAGCTTCAGAGTGAGGAAAACTTTGCAGTGGTGTGCAGATCATAAGAGTCAGAGATAATGCTTTCCAAAGTAGTCTCCTGAAATAATATGGGTGAGAGACAACAAGAGCCTAGGTTTAGGTCAAGAGCACTGCATTCTGAAGGAAGCAACGTGAGGTCCTGCCCTAAGGCTTCCAATTACCTTTTTCAGGGTACTTTTCCTAGTAGGCAAGTGCAGACTGTTGCCTCTGCTGAGGGGTTTTGGAAACGTTCCCACGACATCAGCCATCAAGCAAATTCACGCCCACCATAAAAAATATTCAAGTGCAGTACTTTCTTGGAAAAGGAGTCCCCCAGAGGAGATTGTATTAGGTTTCTTCAAGGGTCTTTTCAAAAAT